AAGCTCTATCATAAACGACTTAGAACTTTGATGATAATGATTTATTTAGTTACCACTTATTGATACAGTAATGAAATAAATCGTTTAATATTCTCTTACCTAAACGACAAATTCTTTATGTAAAACCTGTATACGCGAGCTACGCCGCGGGCACAGCTAGTAGTTAATATACGCGATAGAATCCATTAAAATAGTTTTATTTAAATTTACGTTATATTTCAATAGCACAAAATAGGATTACAGTGCACGAGTGTTTGCGCAAGCATAGATGAACTCTCTATTTCACATTCTCGTAGTCCGATGGGACACTAATCCTCACGAATAGTGAGAGATCAGACGCAGGACTTTTCGTGCTTTCTGAGACATGTTGGAAAACACCGTCAACATTATTAACTAAAGGTTAAAGATCTTTCCTAGGTTAATTATAGTTTTATTTGAAGGTAGAGACACTATAGATACTTACGTAGTTTCATTATCTTGTGTTTGTGTAATTAGGTATTTAATTGTAGGTAGGCATTGTATTGTAGTTGTTATTATAATAAAATTTTAAATCATGGCCATGATAGAAATTTACCGGCGCGTTGTTGCTGCAGAAGAAATAATTGTGGAATTTTTTTTTTAAATTTGGAAGAGTAATATTGTTTAATTAGGCATGATTTCATTGAAATTGAATGATATATAACTTTGAAATAAGTTTGTCGTTACGATACGCGCGCCACCTATTGTAAGTTAATTGTACTACGCCTATAACCTTCGCGGAAGTGCTAGCAATAAGTTGACAAAGTTTTACCGCAATGTGATGAACGGCGCAGCGCATAAAATACGAACAAACAAAAATTATTATTTATATATATTAGATAGTACCAATAATTGGTGAATGAGTTTGCTTATCTAGGACTCTTGTCTATTATATGGGAACACTTTGTTGTCTAGACAAAATTGGAAGTAAATTGTGGATTACGTTATAGCAAAATGAGTCGATTTCTCTGTTACCCATCGCCTACGCTTACAGAACGAACGAACGTCCTATTACTCTTGACCTACGCCCCGAAATGGTGGCATTCAAGATTTTTTCTGCCATCAGGGCGGCGGCACTAGAAAGTGAGGTATAATATTGGACAGATTTCATAGCAGGGAAGTTAATATGGTCGGAAAATGTAAAAGTTATTGTTTCTTTTTGTACTATTAGCTATATTTTATAATAATAACATTAAAAATAAATAAATCAAACCACTAATATACATAAAAGCGGAAAAATAAAAAAAAAAGTTGAATATGTACAAAAAATTAAAGAGCAAACCACTGACGCATTGTTTTGTGTATTAATATCATACTCTAGAAACTCATAAACTTTTATTAAAAAAACAACTTCTCAGTTAAATGACACTGTGTAACAAAAAACTTTACCTCAGTGTCAACTAGCGACACCTGGTGAGCAGAAAATTATTACCCCTCATTACGCTAGTGCCGCAACGTACTGCACCGATAATAAATCTCAACCCTACAAGTTTGGTGGAACTTGTGAACTATACAGACATGTGTCAATCGTGAATAATTCTTTCATTTGACTAGAGTCACATCGAACTATTGATGATTGCAATTATATTTATGAACCGAATCAAACGATTGACAGGAACTACGGCCAAAGACTGTAGTAATGTCCGACGACCGACATTATCGGGCGGGTCTCGCAGATCACAGAGTACTGAAACTCGAAATGATCGAAACACGAATGATAGACCCGAATGATCCGGTTCGTAAGATGAATCAAATTGTTTGATCGGGTCACTAGAAATGAATGAATGACACGGGTCTATTGCGAATTGTTTGGAGCCGTAAAAATTTTGAATCGTATATTTGAAGTAGGTATAATAATAATATCCGTCAGACCGAATTTCTGTCACGGCGGCCCGTCTCAACGAGAACTATCCATCTGCGCGAGTCAGGATTATAGTTCCCAACTCTCTATTCCTTTATGGGACGGTTATCCGACACGACTGGAGAGAATAAAATAGAATAATTTTTTATTCAATATTGATTATTACATAATATTTATTGAAAGTAATTTTTTATTTACCACTGGTTTGGAAAATACCTCTGTCCTGGGAACAACCAACAAGAAACCCAGCGAGACTTTTTTTTAAACATATTTCATTTAACAATAATTTTGTTTATACAATTTTTAAATGAATTTTCATAGAACCATTATTTTCATTCATGTATTCCTTGATATTATAATAAACCTTTTTGTACAGTTTTCCTTTAATAAAACTTTTAAACTTGTTTATTAACAAACTTTGAACATGTTCTGGGATTTTGTTATAAAAGCGTATACATTGCTCCATAAATGAATTACTGATTTTGTGGAGTCTAGTAACTGGCATTACAAGCATATGAGAGATCAAAGACAACGGCTTCACGAGCTTTCCGAGGCACGGGGATGCAAACACCGTCAATTTGCTGACTTCGGGCTGTTACTGAGAAAATTTTTGACAGAAAAAATCTAATTAATTTTGATTCGACTTGGGATTCGAACTACGGATGGGTAAATGGAAAAAAATATATCGATATTTATAACTGTGTCTCGCCAGAAACGCAAAGTCAGGAATTTGCATTTAGAAAAACCCACATTTAAATGCTTATTAGGTGCTAATTAGGTGCCAAGTTTAAAAATTAGGTGCTCTAAAATGTTCACCGCAACGAACTGTTGAAATTTGCGTTGCTGGCAAAACGTATCGCTAGCAACGCAGTGACGATAATAGATATACGGTAAATATTGATAGCAAGGAATTAAGTGCTAGTTAAGTGTTGAAAGATTATTGAGGTCGAATGTAGATGACGGTAATATTCTGGGAATTATCGGGTCCAGGACCACCGTTATCTTACTATAAGATATGAACTGCATTTTTGTTCTTTGTCAGTTATATATTATAGATAAGATAGGTCGAATCTGTACTAAAACCGAATCAAACACCCCGACTCCACGTAGTCGTGTCTGCCCAACGCCTAGAGAGTTTTTGTAAAGCCGTAGGCGCCGTGTGAGAGCAGCCCCCGCCTGCTGTAACAAAATGCAGGCATTTGCGCGAGCCGTAGATGCTGAGGCTGGTCGCCGAAGGCAGGGCAAGGAAGAATTAGCCGAAGCTGCGGAGGTGAGCATGGGTGCCTTTGATTTGCTACGAGGGCGGCACTGAAAATATCGGGAATCAAGGAAGTGACACAACATTACTATTTAAAAATGCATTTATTGCTTTTCGAAGTATTCTCCGCGAAATTTGACACATTTTTCCATACGATGGAACCAATCATTGAAGCAACCATTCCATTCGGAAGTAGGGGTCTCCAAAATGGCCGTTTTGTAGGCGTCCACAGCTTCTTCAGGTGATGAAAATCTCTGTCCACGAAATTTATTCTTTATTTTAGGGAAAGTATAGAAATTATTAGGGCTTAGGTCGGGGCTGTACGGCGGATGGTCTAATAATTCTATGTTTTCTTGCTCTAAAAAGTCTTTTATTCTGTGTGCGGTGTGAGAACTCGCATTGTCGTGATGGAGGATGATGCGGCGGTTGCAGTTTTCTTTACGGAGTTCAGAAACGACCTGTGGCAAACAAATGCTAACATACTATTCTGCATTAACCGTTCTTTGTCCCTCAAGAGGAATAGTCGTAACATGGCCGGTTTTGGAGACAAACGTGGCCACCATTTTTTTTGCAACACTCCGTGAACGAACAATTTTTGTTGGCTTTAACTCATTTTCGAACACCCAAACTCGTGACTGATTTTTTGTTTCGGGTTCGTACGCATATATCCAGGATTCGTCCTATGTACAGTGCAGCCTACTATGTACGCAAGGGCGGAAGGGCTGCATTTCCCGCAGCGCCGCAGCTGTTGCAGAAGTAACTATGTCAATATCCCTATGTAAAAATATGAGGTTATGATTTTACAAAAAAATTATTACCCTGTTGTATTTGTCTGATAAATTACATTTTTTATGAGAGAGGGGGCAAACGAACATACGGCTCACCTGATGGTAAGTGACTACCGCCGCCCATGAACAACCGCAACACCAGGGGAATTGCAGATGCGTTGCCGGCCTTGTAGAAAGGTGTAAGCTCGTTTCTTGAAGGTCCCTAAGTCGTATTGGTCCGGAAAAATCTCTGGTGGTAGTTTCATATTGTAAATTAGCAACAAAATGACCACTTGATAGATTATCTGCTGTAAACCCTAGTTGTTGTCGAGATCCAGAAATAAACCTTGCGAAGCCGTGGCGATTCGCAAGTATATTATAAAATTGATGATGTGAGTAATGTGTGGTTAAGACTAAGTACATGATAAGAAAAATTACTATTCAGCACGCATGCCTAATCTACTACAGGTTGTTTGTGCGAGAACGGCACTTTGTCTATTCTTTTTTAAATTGTTACCACAAACCATTGTTATCATCCATAATCATAGATTGTTAAGTAAATTAACGTTACCATGGTCTATCATTGTATTTTATGTAAATACATTGTAAAAAAAAAACCAATTTTGTCTTTGAATAAAGTTATTTTTACAGATTTTATCGCTTTTAATTTTTAACAGATAAAAAAAAGGCGGAAGTTCTTTCTGGAGGAATTTTATGCTATTAAACAGCCTTAAGCATTTGTTTACTACTTAAAATGCTATTGTAGATCCAAATGCACTAAAAACAGCTGAAAGCTGTACAGCTGCGTTGTGGTTTGTTGCACTAAAACTAAAGGTATTACAAAAGCATTTTGATTTCCCATTATCCAACCGTTGTACAGTGTAAAGCATCATAATGGTTTTGAAATGTTAATATAAAGCGTCAAGATGCTCGGTGAACTTATATAAGAGTTTATACGGACCTTAAGCTATACATAAGTTTACTATTCGTTTGTTAAAATGTTTCCTGTGTTAGTTCTGTTCCTTATTCGACTCTTGCATTTCCCAAGGCACGAAATGGGGTGATACATTCACTTATCTTGTTTGTTTTGTTCCAGGCGACCTACAAGGCTGCTATTGCATACGGTAATTTAAAAAATGGAATTCAAGACTTTGTTGCACTGATTAGAGAGGCTTCAAAGCAGGTGAGAATACATCTTTACAAATAAATAAAATTTATGAATCTGTTTGTACTGTCAAAATAACAGCTTTTTACTAAATGTACTTATAACATAAAAACAACTTTTAAAATTATTGTCTATGTGTTTGTTTCGGCTAATCACAGCGCTCAGTTCGCAAAGCACTTCTCTCCCTGGACATCCAGAAGTCGAGTGGGCCTGACGGAATCCCCCCAATTGTGCTGAGGACGTGTGCTTCGGAGTTGGCACCGGTCCTAACGCGTCTTTTCCGGTACTCCTACTCCCAAGGCGTAGTCCCGAATTCATGGAAGACAGCTTTTGTCCACCCAATCCCTAAAAAAGGCGACCGCTCAGACCCGTCCAACTATAGGCCTATCGCGATCACCTCCTTGTTCTCCAAAATAATGGAATCCATTATTAACTACCAGCTCATCCGGTACCTTGAGGATCACCAGCTGATTAGTGACCGCCAATACGGTTTTCGTCGGGGTCGATCAGCTGGTGATCTTCTGGTCTACCTGACCCACAGATGGGCGAAGGCAGTAGAGTCCAAGGGGGAGGCGTTGGCCGTTAGTCTGGACATTGCGAAGGCCTTCGATCGGGTTTGGCACAAAGCGCTTCTTTCGAAGCTCCCTTCCTATGGGCTTCCCGAGAAATTGTGCGATTGGATCACCAGCTTCCTTGCAGATCGGAGCATCAAGGTCGTTGTAGACGGTGCATGTTCTGACTACAAGCCTATTAACGCTGGTGTTCCACAAGGCTGTGTGCTATCACCAACGCTGTTTCTTCTGCATATCAATGATATGTTGCTAACTGGTAACATTCATTGCTATGCGGATGACAGCACTGGTGATGCTCTATACACCGGCCGGGCCAATATTTCTCGGGAAAACGTCGCCGAGTACCGGAACAAACTTGTGTCTGAAGTCGAGTCTTTGCTGGACAAAGTCTCGGATTGGGGGCGACTAAATCTAGTCCAGTTTAGTCCTCAGAAGACACAAGTTTGCGCGTTTACCGCTAAAAAGAACCCCTTTGTCGTATCTCCTCAGTTTCAAGGCACTCCCCTTCTTGCCTCAGCCAGTATCAGTATCCTCGGAGTCGACATATCGAGTGACGTGCAGTTTCGTGGTCACTTGGAAGAGAAGGCCAAATTGGCCTCTAAAAAGCTTGGCGTGCTCAGCAGAGCGGGACAGTATTTCATGCCGGCACACCGCCTGCAACTTTACAAGGCGCAGGTTCGGCCTCACATGGAATACTGTTCCCATCTCTGGGCAGGGGCTCCCCAGTACCAGCTCCTTCCACTTGACCGCATTCAGCGCAGAGCGGCTCGAATCGTCGACGACCGAGCCCTTTCCGATCGGCTCGATTCATTGGCACTGCGAAGAGATGTTGCATCTCTTTGCATTTTCTTTCGCATCTACCATGGGGAGTGCTCTGAGGAATTGTTCGGATTAATCCCAGCCGCAAAATTTCATGAACGCACATCGCGGCAGAACTCCCGATACCATCCACACCATCTGGATGATTGGCGGTCCACCATTGTGCGATTTAGAAGATGTTTTCTTCCTCGCACGAGTTCCTTGTGGAATCGATTACCATCAGCGATTTTTCCGGACCGATACGACTTAGGGACCTTCAAGAAAAGAGCCTACTCCTTTTTAAAAGGCCGGCAACGCATCTGCAATTCCCCTGGTGTTGCGGTTGTTCATGGGCGGCGGTAGTCACTTACCATCAGGTGAGCCGCAAGCTCGTTTGCACCCTCTCCTATAAAAAAAAATCTCCGAATTTGCTGGACCTATTTCACTTGCAGATAAGTACCTAATGCTTTATGGAGTAACTTAGGCAACTTATATTTTAGAAAAATAATTAGAGCTCCGCGCACAAAAGTGCAATTTTAATAAATTCCACGCGGACGAAGTTAACAGCAACAACAGCTCGTTTTATATTTTTTGTATGGAACTATTCCACTTCTGATGTTAGAAATTATTCTCAAAATTATTTAAATAAAAGAACACTGCTCGGCAACAAGCCCTGCTTACTATCAGGACACAATTACATGATAACACCAAAGTATGCAAACCAACAGCATCACTATCCATCTCAATGTATCACCTCTCAGCTACACGACCTTCCTTGCTTGTACTAGAAGAATACCCCCACGGGCGTAGTGACGACAATGAGACTCGTAGAATTGCCAACTGATCTCTCTTAGTCGCCTGTGCGATACGTCATACTTTTATATAGGATAGGGTGATAAACGAGCACACAGTCCACCTGATGGTTAGGTTGCTGTGACCCATAGACATCTACATCTATCCTCAATAAAGACTCAAGATGCAGATGCGTTGTCACCCGTGAGGACTAAGATGGAATGCCTCTTTGCCAGTAAAATGGGTCTCCGGTTCTCTACACTCACCATAAGAAACACAGCAGTGTCATGCAGCCATTTTACGCTGGTACTCTGTGAGAGCGTGGTCCTTCCCCGGTCGAGCCGACCCATTCGAGCTACAACTGTACTACTAATATAGCTGCAGCATAGCTCTACCACGTTCTAAAGTAAATTGGATAAGGAAATACTGCTAAAACAAATGGGAGATCTTCATTTGTTCGTATTTCCTTTTATTTTTTACCCTCACTCTCTACAATATTATATATCACTTCTTATTTCCAATGATGCAAACGTAAAAAATAATCTATTTCAGCACGCCGATGTAGTTTTATTAGCATCGGAGGTTTCCGATTTAGAAACATGCCTCGAGACAGCCTGCGTTCCTGATAATTATGATGAGGTAATTATTACTATGAAATAATATTTGTTTCTGCATAAATTGAAATGGACTCCTAGAATCTTTGGCAGAAAAGGACTCTATGCCTATCATACTCTACCTAGTATCTACACATTGCAGGGCTTTAACAAGTCCATTGGTGAACATAGGACACCCTTATGGGATGCCACAAAACTCGGACCTGTATCCCACCTATATCCCATCATGTACAAACTTTATTTATATAGGAAACCAAGATAACTTTTGCACGTTAATTTGTAAAACAAAAACAGTTACAAATTCTGTTGAACTAACCACGATTTCGTATATCTACTGAAGGAAGAGGGTTCAAAATCAGTATGTATAAGTAGCGGCATGAAAGTCTAGCGGTGACCGTTATTGCGCATAAGTCGCTCTGTTTGGCTCTCCAGTCGCATTCGTGCAATTTAATTCGTGCGAGTCCCCTTCACGTTTCGCTCAGCGCTACACTTACGTAACGCAACTTGTATGTGCAGTGAAGACGATATCAAGATGCTGGCCCCTAGCTTTGATCGGAATAATATTATGCATTATATGAAACATTTTTCTGAAATAGCGTTCAAAAACTGTTGTCAAGTAGACTAAAACTAGAATCAAGAAGACGTTTAGAAATAGATAATATTATGAATGAGTCGAAAGTATTAGGATTGTATAAACCTGCTAGCGCAATCGAGCAATCTAGTAATTATGGTGGAATTCAAACACAAATTTAATCTGTAAACGCATAATTCGCCGTACTTAAACGATTTTAAAATGTTGTAAGCACACACTATTAAAAGTAGTGACCGATCGTGTCACTAATCAAGTTGGTGGTACACCAAAATACGAGTACATCTAAGTGTTTTGTTTTGTTCTCAATTCAACTGTTTTATTTTTACGTGTTTTACATCAAAACTTTTTTCTAAGTAAACCGTTTAAGATGGTTCTTCTTTTTATTTGAAAGCTAGTGCTTTTAATGTGGTCCCATATAAATTTGATCAAGATCAAAGAAGAAGTAGTTTTTGAGTTATCTTTAATAATGCGTAATTTAATTGACTTCGACTACATTGATGATGTTCTTTTATTAATATCGAAGTCGGTTGTACAAAATTTTCTAATTTTACCACTTGTCTGTTTGTTTAATACGTTTTAGCTTGTCCGGGATGCGTCATATATGGCGAAGAAATACGAGTTGTACATCGCAATGCATTTGTACGAGAAAATGCGGTGCGAAAGCGGCGAAGAGCTGATCAGAAGCAATTTGGTGTTTGACAGGAAGGGGGCAGTTGTTTCAAAGTAAGCGTATATTACAATAAGCACGCCTAAGTAAAGTAGGCTATATTACTGGTATAGTTGTAGCACGAATGTGTCGGCTCGTCCCGGGAAGGATCACATCTCTCACAAAATACCAGCGTAAAATAGCAGCTCAATGCTGTTGTGTTTCGTATGGTGAGTGTAGAGAACCGGAGACTCTTTTTACTGGAAACGAGGCATTCAATCTTAGTCCTCACGGGCGACTCATCTGCTTTTTGATTTGTAATCGAGGATAGATGTAGATGTCTATGAATTACAGCAACCACTTACATCAGGTGGACTGTGTGCTCGTTTGTCACCCTTATCCTATAAAAGATAAAACCGTCGAGCACTTTGTATGTTAAGCACTTACAATTGCAATTAATAATTTTAAGTGCTTGACATACCAAGTGATACCGGTGGGGATCGAAGCCGGGTTGCTCGCCTAGTGTGAAATTTACATCATCTATTCATCTATTTTCTGTGATGTTGGTGTTGTTAGTCTATACGGCTCTTACAGCTTCATCTCACACAGGGCTAGCGGCCTATGTATTTTAAAAAGGGAAAGCCAATGATGGAAATGAGGATGATGTTGGTTTATGATTTGGTATTGTTACCAATTGTCATGTCCTCTCTGTTGAGGTGTTTTGAGCTATCTAATAGCAGTCCGAGTGGGGGTGTGCGAATCACCGCCTTTGACTGCTTAGCTCGTGTCGGTGGATGTTCTGCGCGGTGAGAACCAGCCAGGTACGAGGGTGTACGGTGTGTATGCAGTGTGTGTTCGAACGCGTCGTGCCCGCCTACGGGTGCGACGCACCTCATCCGTTAATCTACTTGTGTAGTTGTAGTGTCAGTGTTTGATGTGCTTGCAACGTTTGGGTTTGAGCGTGATATTTACGGCGAACACTTAGCTCCTGCGCTACCACGGTTTGTTTTTAATGTATGATGTGACTGTAATATTTATCATATATATCATATACTCGTCCTTCTCTATAGGTCTGTCCTCTGTACGTGGTAGAGCCATGCTGCAGCTATATTATACTGGTATAGTTGTAGCACGAATGGGTCGGCTCGACCGAGGAAGGACCATGCTCTCACAGAATACCAGCGTAAAATGGGAGTTTGACACTGCTGTGTTTCGTATGGTGAGTGTAGAGAACCGGAGACCCATTTTACTGGAAAAGAGGCATTCCATCTTAGTCCTCACCGGTAACGACGCATCTGCATTTTGATTCTATATTGAGGATAAATGTAGATGTCTATGGGCCGCAGCAACCACTTACCATCAGGTGGACTGTGTGCTCGTTTGTTACCCTTATTCTATAAATATAAAAAAAGGTATTTTTATTTAAAGTTGGTTCTAGGTATCGCGGGCTGCAGTACTGCAGTAGCTACTTACTGTCTGCTGGACTCTGTTAGCTCGATTTTAAATTTAATTTTTAGGAAAAATACCCCCCTATCCCAAAGTCTGCCACAAAGCCTTGTCCTGAGCTACTCGTACCTAAACGGAGTCCCTGCACATCTTCAGCCACTGCGTCTAGTGGTGAGACGGCCTACTCTACGTTGGCCGGTTCGAGGCTGTCATTCGATAAACTTTCTAGTCTATCGAATGATGGCAGAAACTCATACCCAATATTCTGAACCTATATCTTACAGACTGGTGATACTGGCAACATTACCGAATGTATGCTCTACCTTAGCTAACTCTCTCTTTATCAAGAAATACGACATTGAATATATTTAACAAGAAAGGATAAATAAAAACGTGTTTCCCTTCTATAGAATATTTTATTATATACTTTTTTTTTTACAACAAAAGTAAACAAACATAAGTAAAGCGTTTTTTTAAAATAACTAAAAGATATGCGTTTTTAGAGTACCGAACCCAAAAGGTAACCAACGGAACCCTATTACTAAGCCTCCGCTGTCCGTCCGTCCGTCCGTCCGTCCGTCTGTCTGTCAGCAGGCTGTATGTCATGATCCGTAATAGGTACACAGTTGAAATTTTCACAAAATGTGTATTTCTGTTATGGCTACAACGACAAATAATAAAAATGTAAATAAATTAAAAATTAAAAGGGGCTCCCCTACTAGAAACGTGTATTGCGATGGTACGGAACCCTTCATTCGCGAGTTCGACTCGCACTTGGCCAGTTATTTTTAATACTACTTGTACAGAAATTATCTTAATTTTTATAGTGTGATATGTGCACAAGGCTTGAATAAAATATAAAAGCTTTTACAACAATTTACTTCGCAAATATCCGCGTTATAAAATAAAATGATGTGTCTTACCTAGTATGAAGAAGCACCTCCCGCCCTCCCTCAATTGCGTGCACTATCCCCGTCACCACTAATCCCAGCACCGCTACTCCCAACACCACTACACTAGGCAAGACACACCACTGACGATAATACGACACGTGTTTCGCCTCTACACGAGGCATCCTCAGGTGATATAGACTCTACGGTGGCTAACCGCTAAAGTTAGCGGTTAGCTTAAGTTAGGTAAGACACATCATTTTATTTTATAACGCGGATATTTGCGAAGTAAATTGTTGTAAAAGCTTTTATATAATGGATTTCCGCAAAGTAACTCCTGATTCTATTAATTATATTGAATAAAATAGTTATATCAATATTATTACTGCCAGCACATATCATACGTTTGTTTCAATTGGTTCAAGTCACTTTATATAATATATTCGAATGGTATTTGAATGTCATATTTGTCACCAATTATTATGACGCAATTGAAACGAAAAAATTAAGGTCAAACAAATTTCTAAAACTAGGATAAGTATACATTATTCTTCATACATCTAATATAATGAAAATTAATGTTTGTTTGTTCGTATTTTATGCGCTGCGATACCGTTCATCAGATTGCGGTAAAACTTTGTCAACTCTATTGCTAACATTTGCGCGAATTTACTCAACTTTTTATTTACAGTTTTTTACCATGTAAATAAAACAATATAAATAACTCTAACAACAAGTCGAACTGCATCAGGTTCAGATTATGTGATTTTGCCACTTAACCAACATAATATAATGTGAATATTATGATTAATTTTTATTCATAAGTATAGAATTTGTGAATGACTTAATTACAGAGCCATCTATCGGATCCTAACGATGAACATCGTCTCGACAAAACAAACATATTGTATTAAATATGACCTCAATCGGTCAAGTCATTCAGAACATGGAGTAAAGAGTAGAAGGAGAACCATCTCATATGGGGGGAAAATTGAAAAAGTGTCCAACTGTATACTGAAAATAGAGGTTCCAAAACCTACCACAATAGCGCTGGCGTCTGAAAAACTACGATATGAATATAGCTATTGTAGACGGAGTGAAGTCAGCTGAATTCAAACATTTACGACTAGAGTAGTTAGTAAAATGCTAGTATACAAAACCTCAACTATTTACGTAGTATAAAACCAAGCGGATAAGTCGGTCCTTCTAATTACTTTTGGCGCTTTTTTTAAATTTATCCTATGCTACCGTAGCGCCACCCTTATTGGACGCGTTTTTACGGACACTTATTCTTATACAGAGATGGTCCTCCTGCTACTCTACTCTATACTCCATGATTCAGAAGTTACACTAGCAGATGCACCAATACCAAGATGCATTTTAGAGGCTTCTTCTTCGTCAGTCCATTGAAAGTACACTGCTAAACAAGTATTGTTCCCTTTTCCGGCGTATCCCATAGACCAGGGATGCACCCAGTATATATATACAGTAATCTATGGATGCACCACACCAATAACTTTAATGGCAGGTCCGTATAAAGAAATATAAATCTGTCACAGTCCTTTTGCCAGATAATGACTAGCAACCGAGATTTAAAAAGTCAATTAAAAAATAAAACAAAAAGAAATCAAAATATTTTTTTTAGTAAGGATGGGTACATGAAATTAAAAAAAAATACAGAGTACCCAATAATAAGGCGAAAATGGCATTTTTTAAATCTGAACAATCTATTTGCAGTGTGAAAAAATTGGTGTAAGCGATTACCATTAAATCTTGGCGATGGTCATCGGTAAGACGAGATCGAAATGTATTTTTAATGAAGTTCATCTTGTTCCGCGGTCCGCCATTTTTTCCTACTATTATTTTTTCCTACTTGGTTCGCAAGGTACACATGTGGTACACAGCAGGTCATTTCGAGGTTATTACTGGTATAGTCTCCTATTTTGAAGTCCGATCACTTAGTTAGTCCTTCATGAAGTTAAGCTGATTTCTTCTTATATCAATATTTTATAGCTTTTTTGTAAGGATAGAGATAGATATTGTGTCAAATGCCTTCTTTAGGTTCAAAGAGACAGTCATAAATTTATAGTGGACTTTCCTACGCCGCCAATACACGGCAAATAAATGATTAAAAACTGCTTAAGCCGTGATTTAGTGGCGCTGAAAAGCACTCGAAACGTTGGGAATTTAATAAAAATAAGTTAATTAAACACGATAGAATCCGTAAAAGTAGTTTTATTCAATCTGTAGTGGTTGTGTAAATATATGAAATCATTAAATGACTTTAGTTACAGAAAACCACTAAAGAATATTGCATTATGCAATGCAACTTCACCAAAGATGGCTAGCTTCACCACGGACTTTGGGGTCAACTTCGTTATCCTCATGAATGAGGATATCGTGCTTCAAGACCTTACAAGCTTCAAGAGTATGAACTTCATTGTCACTGGCGGATCTACTGCGGATATTATGTATTTGAGAGGTAATATATTTTTATCTAATATAATATACTGCCATTTTGTATTAATCGTTACCCGAAATAAAGACATTTTATAAAATCTGAAAAATGTTATAATCATGGTTGAAAGTAATTCCGGTAGATGGCGGTGTAAACATTTCGTGTTTATACTAGTATAAACACGAAATGTTTACACCGCAAATGTTTACATCTAGGATGTATGGAGTGTAGAGTACAAGGAGGACCATCTCTGTATATGAAAAGTGTCCCTAAAAACGTGTCCAATAAGGGTGGCGTTGCAGTAGCATAGGATAAATAAAAAAAAAGCGCCAAAATTAATTAGAATAAAATGGAGAAATAAACAAGGGCCGACCAATCCGCTTGGTTTTGTACTACGTAAATAGTTGAGATTTTGTATACTGGCATTTTACTAACCACTCTAGTCATGATTTTTTTTTAAATATTTGAATTCAGCTGACTTCACTCCGTTCACAACAGCTATCTTCATATCGTAGTTTTTCAGACGCCAGCGCTATTGTGGTAGGTTTTGGAACATCTATTTTCAGTAAATAGTAGGACACGTTTTCAACTTTCGCCCCTTATAAGATGGTTCTCCTTGTACTCTACACTCCATACCCAAAATAAAGACATTGTATAAAATCTGAAAAATGTTAAAATTATGGTTGAAAGTAATTCCAATAAATGGCAGTATAAACATTTCGTAAACAAAATGAATGGCGACGGGAAGCATATACTAGCGTAAAATAGCAGCTTATTATTGCTGTGTTTCGTATGATAAATGAAGAGGACTGAAGATTTTTTTTTTCGTAACGAGGCATTTTATCTTGGTACTCATGGGTGAATACGCATCTGCATTTTGATTCTTAGTTGAGGATATATACGAGTATGGGCGGCACGACATCCACTTACGCTCAGATGTACGGTGTGCTCGTGCGTCACTCGTTTTCTATGCTTATCTAACTAATTTTAAGTTCTTATAGGTGGTAGAGCTATGTTAGTTGTATATTTGTAGCACGAATGGGTCGGCTCAACCGGGGAAGGACCACGCTCTCACAGAATACCAGCGTTAAATAGCAGCTTAACACTGCTGTGTTTCGTATGCTGAGTGTAGAGAACCGGAGACCCTTTTTACTGGAAAAGAGGAATTCCATCTTAGTCCTCACGGGTGGCAACGTATCTGCATTTTGATTCGCAAATGAGGATAGATGTAGATGTCTATGGGCCACAGCAACCACTTACAATCAGGTGAACTGTGTGCTCGTTTGTCAACCTATCCTATAAAAAAAAGTTCTATAATACTAAATATTATATATTATTATATAGTTTTGGTAAGTTTTAATACAGTTTTTGACATCAGTATATTAGAATTTTTGGATTCTTTCGGATCCCTTACGGTATGGATTATATTTTTAGGACATCTCAGTCTAAAAAAAATCAGAGGACTAAATGCTTTTGTAACCACTTCTAACCAGATGGATGTATGATGGATGTGATGATGATCGTGTATTTAATAGAGCCACGTTACAGCGTATCATGGCTGCACGGTTAGCGTGTTTATATATGTGTGATCTCAGCCGATGATAAAGGTAAGTGGCAGTGAAGCTATCCTTCCGTTCCTTCTACCTCCTCACCGACAACCGATGGGAATGAAAGGTTTTAGAGCAGCAGCCTCATGACTTTAAGCGAAGTGTAAGCCCCCCCCCCCCACACACACTAAATAGAGTGATGGTCTTGTAAGATATGTCGAAAGATGCTAAATAATGTAATTTATAGCAACAATATAAACACAAACTTATTTTACAGGAAATCATTTAATCTCATCCTGGGCGTACACCTCCAACGCCAATGTGATCTCTGACAGCGGAATCTTCGCTGGAAAAGCTGGTTTGAAGAGTGGGCTGGTGATTGAACTTAATAAGATTGGGCAAGGTAAGATATTGAAAAAAATGCTAAATTTGGGATCAATGATTCGTGAAATTTGGAACGTGGTAGACTGGTAGAGCCATGCTGCACCTATATTAATGGTATAGTTGTAGCAGGAATGGGTCTGCTCGACCGGGGAAGGACCACGCTCTCACAGAATACCAGCCTAAAATAGCAGCCTGATGCTGCTTTGTTTCGTATGGTGAGTATGGAGAACCGGATAACCTTTTTACTAGAAAAGAGGCATTCCATCTTAATCCTCGCGGCTGACAACGTATCTGCATTTTTATTCGCAAACGAGTATAGATGTAGACACAGCAACCACTTACCATCAGGTGAACTGTGTGCTTGCTTGTCATCCATATCCTAAATAAAAAAAAAAGATTTGCCCGTAAAACACTGCCCGTGTACAGTCCTCGCAAAACTTCTTAGGCTCTGGAGATATCACGTGTCAAAATTGCGTAGTAGCTTGATTTTAGATCGTTTGGCGATGTGAGCATGCGTGCCACGTAAGGGGTTACGTGGTGTTTTATGTTTAAATCCTTTTTTATTTTACCTAATTGCTTTTAATATTCGAAACCTTCATGTTTACGATTTTAGAAAGATGAAGTCTTTATTTAGACGGTTTTTAGAGCGAAGACAATCCTTCATAGCGTTTTACGAAAGTATGCATCACAGTTATCTTTTAGGTAGCGAATGCAACCATTATAATGAGCTAAAATTACGAATATATTGAGATTTAATATTGTAAAACAATACTATTAAATCACTAAAACTGCTTACTTCAATGTAATTTTTGATTTCTTCGTGTATTTGAATATAAACATAACTATTATAATGTATTTTATCAAAATATAGGAAATGCTAAATGCTATATTTTTTAGCTCGTTTGCAAATTGTTTGCGCATGCAAGTTGCTGCGTGTAACCGTCGCCTTTGCAGTAAAGCCTTCATAATATATTGTGTGTTATTTAAAAGTTCAAAGTAACGTAGGTATTGCATGAAATTGTTCAATATTAAACTAAAATACGTAGGTACAGTGTCAGTACTTATTTATTTATTTATTTAACAAGTACACTTACAATATACATATATGACATTGTCACAAAAACTTACACACTTTTATATTTCCTGATATGCATATCAATTACAAGTGTACATAACATTTACAGACTGAGTCGTGCAACATAATTTAGAATTAATTTGAGGTAGTAAAAACATATAATCAATGCAATAAAATGAGAAATAATTTAAGTAAACTATGTTACTTACAGTACAATCTCTTTATACTATGGTACCTAATGTGTCTATGTAAATAATCTAAGAACATCGCTTCCAACACTCTAGAGGTAGATGTGATAATATTATCTTAATATAATTACTTTGTACCTCATTATTAGTGAACCATTGTATGTTCTTATGAGAAATAGGAATTCATAAAAGTAGACGAAGGTTATATGACCTTTACCATGAAAGATCATATAATCCTTCCGATGTTTTTAAAGAATATGTCAAAAATTATTCTAAAATGTTTAAAATAGTTTGCTCCACAGCCAAATCGTTACATATTAGCAACAAAATTAAGACGGCTAAGGATAAAATTAAAATGACGTGGAGTATAATTAACAGCGAAACCGGTAAAGACAAACCTCGTAACTCAAACTATCAACTAAAAATTAACAATGAATTGACTAAATCAAATCAAGAAGTCGCAGCGGTGTTTGAGAAATATTTCACTGATATTCCTATCTTGACAACCGAGTCATTGAATACTTCTCCAACTGTCGCCGAGTCACTACTCAAACAGAATGTTAATACCTGTTTAAAAGAATTTAGATTTGAAAAAGTATTACCGCAAGATATTGTAAAATACTTCAAAACCATTGATGTAAAGAAAACCGCAGATTTGTGGGGGATTTCCGTTACAGTGATTGCGTCCATAATAGATTTAATTGCACCTCATCTTGCTATTATTTTTAATACTTGTATCGATTCTGGTGTGTTTCCTGATTTAATGAAGTATAGTAAAGTAATACCTTTATTTAAATCTGGTAGTACACTAATGTAAAACATTCGAATACCAATGTGCTGTTAAATGGGGAGGAGTTGAGTCTTGTGGATACCACTGTTTTTCTCGGTATTACTATTGATGCGAAACTTCAATGGGGCCCCCATATATCTAAATTAGCAAGCAGACTTAGTTCTGCAGCATATGCTGTAAGAAAGATTATAAGTCTCACAAATGTTGAGACAGCTAGATTAGTGTATTTTAGTTACTTTCATAGCGTAATGTCTTATGGAATTTTACTATGGGGGAAATCGACTGACATTGAAGCTATATTAGTTTTGCAAAAGAGAGCCATTCGGGCGATTTATAATCTAAATTGTAAAGAGTCCCTCAGACAAAAATTTAAAGAAATAAACATATTAACTTTGGCATCGCAATATATTTATGAAAATGTTATGTATGTACATAAAAACATAAATAGCTTTAATAAGAATAAGGATGTTCATACCTTAAACACTAGGAACAAACATAAGCTTGTAGTACCAGTAACTGGACTCCACAGAATCGCTAATTCATTTATGGGGCAATGTTTACGCTTTTACAACAAAATCCCAGAACATATTCAAAGTTTGTCAATAAACAAGTTCAAAAGTTTTATTAAAGTAAAACTGCATGCTGGTTCTATGAAAAATCATTTAAAATTGTATAAATGAAATTATTGTTAAGTGATGTTTGAAAAAAAAAGGTCCCGCTGGGTTTCTAGCTGGTTCTTCCCTGGACAGAGGTATTTTCCGAACCAGTGGTAAATAAAAAAATGACTTTCAATAAGAATTATGTAATAATCAATATTGAATAAAAAATTATTCTATTCTATTCTATTCTAAATAAAATTATTTAAACCGAAATTAGGTTATAAACGTTCCAATATTGGACATTGGCGTTCTCTTTTATCTGGAAGAGCATTTGCATAGTACGAGTAGTGTTGCCCAAATGCAAGAACAAGACGAGACTTAGCAAGTCTTGGTCTTGGTCTTGCGCCAATACACCTGGTTTTAGTCTTGGTCTTGGTATTGCGCTCCCAGTCTTGGTCTTGGTCTTGGTCTTAGCCTATTACTATTTATTAAACGTTACTTTAGATCTTAGAACAACTTAACAGAGTAGGTATATATTGAGCTTGAATTAACACAGCCATAGTAAAGGCCAACCAAATTAATAAATGTCTAAACATTTAATGAGAAATTCGAAAAATCAACTGACAACGGGTGGGGTTTGAACCCACGACCTAAGCGATCCGTGCCGATGTTCTCACCAACTGAGCTATCTACCGTGTCCCACGGCCACGGGCGTCAGTCTGTTTCTTAATTAACATCATTCATCATCATCATCATTACAGCCCTTCACAAGTCCACTGCTGAACATAGGCCTCCCCCAAAGAATGCCACAAAACACGGTCCTGAGCCACCTGCATCCATCGACTTCCTGCATGTCTTACCAGGTCGTCACTCCATCTCGTGGGGGGACGCCCTACACTTCGCCTACCGGTACGAGGCTGCCACTCGAGAACCTTTCTTCCCCATCGGTTGTCGGTTCTTCGAGCTATATGGCCGGCCCACTGCCACTTCAGCTTACTAATCCGTTGGGCTATGTCGGTCACTCTGGTTCTACTGCGGATATCCTCATTCCTAAGTTTATCACGCAGAGAAACTCCGAGCATAGCCCTCTCCATAGCTCGCTGAGCGACCTTGAGCTTCCTCATACGGCCAGCAGTGAAGGACCACGTCTCAGTTCCGTAAGTCATCACTGGCAACACGCACTGGTTGTACAATTTCGTTTTAAGGTTTTGAGGTATGTCTGACGAGAAGATGTGTCGTAGCTTCCCGAACGCTGCCCAGCCGAGTTGAATCCGTCGATTGACCTCTCGGTCGAAGTTGGACTTACCCAGTCGGACTATTTGTCCCAGGTAAACATACTCGTCAACAACTTCGAGCTTAGTGTTCCCAACAACTATCGGCATAGGTGTGACATGGACATTAAACATGATCTTAGTTTTGTCCATGTTCATCTTAAGACCTATCCGTTGGGAAACACTATTGAGGTCATTGAGCATAGTGCTTAGGTCCTCCAGCGATTCTGCCATAAGGACTATATCGTCGGCAAATCGAAGGTGAGTGATGTACTCGCCATTGATGTTGATACCGTATCCTTTCCAGTCCAGAAGCTTGAAAACGTCTTCCAATGCAGCGGTGAAGAGTTTCGGGGATATGACGTCACCCTGTCTTACACCTCTCTGCAATTGGATAGGTTTCGTACTCTGGTTCTGTACTCGGATAGCTATCGTAGCCCTACTGTACAAGCACTTCAACACTTCGATATACCGACAGTCAACTTGGCACCGCTGAAGGGACTGCAGCACCGCCCAAATTTCGACGGAATCAAAGGCTTTCTCATAGTCCACATACGCCAGACATAGTGGCAAATTGTACTCTTCGGACTTCTGTACAACTTGCCGAAGGGTATGTATGTGGTATATGGTGCTAAAGCCCTTTCGGAAACCGGCTTGTTCGGGAGGCTGGAAGTCGTCAAGTCTGCGCGCGAGACGATTCGTAATGACTCTCGAAAACAGCACGTAGACGCGGCTCAGAAGGGAAATCGGTCTGTAGTTCTTCAAGAGAGCGTTGTCACCTTTCTTGAAGAACAAGACCACCGCACTTCTGCTCCACGCCTCCGGTGTAATGCCACCATGGAGGACGGAATTAAAGAGCTTCTGAAGGACTTCAAGTACCGGTCTTCCACCCGCTTTCAGAAGCTCCGCTGTAATTCCATCCTCGCCTGGGGCCTTACCGTTTTTAAGGTGCTGGAGAGCCATCCTAATCTCGCTCAGACTGACATCCGGGATATCTTCGGAATAGTGTCGGATGAGACTCGCTCTTGGATCGTTACTCACACTTGCGTGTGGCTCCAACGATGATGTGTACAGCTGCCCATAGAACCTCTCAATC